AGAGTCCAAGTAAGGTCCGAGTTTTAGAGTCCAAGTGAAGTCCGAGTTGTAGAGCCCAAGTGAAGTCCGAGTTTTATAGTCCAAGTGAAGTCCAAGTTTTAGAGTCCAAGTGAAGTCCAAGTCCAAGTTTTAGTAGTCCAAGTCCGAGTCCAAGTCCGAGTTTGAGCATGGGCCTCGGGTGTGACAAGTGTACTTCTGTAACAATCAGTACATCGGTACCTACAACTGTCCGGACGGGAAAGTCGTAGTTGCGCTGCCCACCTAGAACAAAGTCGGTAGATGCAAATTATTATCTCTGTCGGGATGATGATAACAGCGAGTTTAAGGAAATACGTACTGTATTTTGGTCTGGAACACGATGAATCAGGAGTCCCTAAGCAACTGAGCTGAATACTCATAACTTCCGGTCGTAGATGAGATGATGTGAGGGTCGGTCGTAGATGTGAGGGTCGAATGAAATAAAAGCATTCCGTGTTTACCACGCTGTAATCCGTATTTAATTATGAACGTCGATAACACAGAACATGCTTCATCTCACCAACACACAATCACATGCACAACACTAGGAAAGTCAAAAGCAAGTAGGCTTAAGATCAGAAATCGTAAGACTGTGTACCGATGTTAGAAATAACAGGAGAGTTTATAGACTGGCCGCTGAGCATAAAATACATCGCTAAGCCATAACAAGTAACGAATCACAGAACGGATTGAGAGATAACTTCCGGTGTACTTGCAGGTAAAGGCAAACAGTCAGTGGATGTACGGTGGATCCGATGTGTATACTCCTCCACACATGTCAAAAGTGAGATCAGTATTTGGGGTTGATGATAGATTATATTCAAGGCTTACAAACTGTGCGACAGCAGGAAGTTTTTGGAACTGCTGGTTTCTAGAAACTCTTTGGGTATATTTGGATCAATTGGATGTATTTTCAATGCATGCTGTGCATTATTTCAGAAGAGCTCTGTCCTGGGACCTAGTTTACCATAAAGGTATCGTCGTAATCAGATCATTGTAATCACCATATGTACACTTATAATCACGAGAAAAACCATCTCTCTTTATTACGTAAAAAGATAGACCGTGATGGCGGTTAACCGTGATCGGCGCTTTCGGCGGCTGCCGAAAGCGCCGACAGTCCCTAAAACCTGAAATAAATTGAATAACTATAAACATAACTATATTAACTTGATTACCTTGAATTAACTATTCATTAGGATTTTAGGACGATGATAGGCGAAGGTCATATAGAGGTGCATAAGGAACTAGTACACTTGCAAATACAACAATCATAGAATAAAAATACGAAGATCCTGGTGCCTGCGGACTTCAAAATTCAAGATTATACTATTTCTGTGACTACCTGATAATAGCATAATACTGTAAATTTCGTACAGGTTATCCCGATTATCTCGATATTATCATAAGTGCAGACTACCCGTAGGTATGTTAATATTGCCGGTATGGTAACGAGTATTGCCGGTATGTTAATTTCATAGATAATTAAAACACTAATGGGCCAGGTCAGTTGCATTTGGGCAACCATTGCGCGTCGGGTAACGCAGAAACGCGTAAAATCTGTCCATGACTCAACCAAAAAATTGTCGTCCAATCTTAAGTCGAGTACGCTTCCGTGGCAAGAAAGAAATTGAACAACTGAAAAATTGAAGTGGAACCGAAAATTTTACTTTTGATGCTTTAATGTGGTAATACGTCAAAATAGTTGAAACTGAGTTTACGATTGTGAATCTGGGTCGCTGGATGCACTTTTGGTTCAAACAAACAAAATTTTGTTCATCTGTGCAGGAGAGTACGAGTTACTCGTAGTTTGGGTAACGGTTGCGCTTCGATTACAACGGTTACACGCACGGGTAAGCTGAATTGAGTGAAAACCCATCCCAGAATTCTGGTTTACCAATCAAATCGTTTACCTGCTTACGCGCCCTGACGTCATGATTTTTTACCCGACTGCCTCTTGCGCGTCGCGTAAGCCCAATGTCAGTCAAGACTGGATGCGGCAGATTGCTGATGGTCGGTGCTCCCTTACCTGCAGAATAACAGTAAGTATAGTCAACCACAAACAAAACAGCAAGATACAACTCAAGATTATTCCGGAATGCTACAGTTTTCAGTTGATTGGGCGCTCACCATACCCGATAACATCCTCGGTGATTTCGGCTTGTTGCTTTATCTGCTCAACGAGGTGGCCGGACGGAATACCATGGGGCCAGCTTCATCATCCCGCAGCGCGGCCACCTCCAAACTGTTCCGAATTATCGGAGCCGCGAATGGATGGTGGAAGAGATGATCGGGAGTGAATCCACTGGGCGCTGATTGTCTGAGCATCGAAGTCAACCAGGAACTTGTGATCCTCGATGTCCTGACGTACCCCAGTCACCACTGACCGTCGTCACGCTGCACTAGCACCGTGTTCCCGTAGTTGATTTCTCGTGCACCGGAAAACAACTGGCGAAGTTAACGCGGCGTTGCATTCATAACAGTTTCTGCGTTCGGAGTAAACGGAGAAAAATACTGTTGCTTAACAGCGTTCAACAGTGCTATTAACTGTAACAAAGACAAAGTAAATGGCGTTTCTGAAGACAAAACAACCGAGGCACATAACGTTTCCTATGCATTTTGGTCGCACGGGTGTGGCTTTTATAGGAAAAACAATCGAATAAATATTGCAAGGCTAATTCTGCAGAGTGCGGAGTAAAGGTATGTTATTGCAGTTTCCGGCTGACCATAGGGACTCTTAGGGTGTTCAGCATGCTGCCGGTATAGATTTATTCATTCAGGTCAGCTTAAAATGCAACGGCAACGTACTTGTTACCATCGTGCCTTTCGCCTGCACACCGGAAAGCGCAATAATATAACGCTTGTATCGATATGTATGCTAGGGTGGCCAGTGGCCTGGGAGTGCACCAGACAAAGCACCCAGAAATTCATGATTTCGGAGCTCACTGTGTGCCGCACTGTACAGATCTGTACAGCACGGACTAACGCAGCAGCACCTAACCCAGAAATCGATGCCTTCTTAAATATTCCTGCTTGAAAGTTACATTTTGAGGAAGTGAGCGCCAACAATGAATGTGCTCATCTTTCTTATTTCTCCCAAAGCGTCATTAGGGAAACCAATGCCCACTGACCTTTAATGTGTACCAATTGTAAGTACAACTTGAGTGTTAAGAAAAACGAATTTTTCTGCAAAAACATTTCTGCAGTGCTATCGTGCTCGGGGATTGTACCCATAACACACATCGCGTTTCCCCGTTGCATTTGGATAGATAACCGCAGTCTAAGAAACTCTTTCGCAGGTTTCTGGCCTGTGGCGGTGGCGATATCGTTCCCAACCTACCGGAAACCAATTCAACTGCGTTGGCAATTTATAAGAATAGCTTTCTTACATTGTTAGTCGTTTCTATTTATTTGGGGAATCTGGGGGTACGGTAGTACGAGATGTCTCTTATTGGGCTCACTCGAAATAAGTACTGTGAGTTCCCAATTAACCGCCCGTTTTATGCGTTGGCTCATTTGTCATCGAAGCAGCCGCCACCCGCGCATGGTCTAGAGGAATTCACTGTCCTGTAGCATCGAGCAAATACAGTATTGAAATATTGTTTACAATCCGGTCACGGTATTATTTCCCACGTTATGAACTTATGACTAGCCTTATTTAGTTATGATCAGCTATATTTCCTGTGAAAATTAATATTTGGTCATGCACGAAATACAATCGCCCGATTATCCACCTAACACCGGTAAAATAAAATACACTGTACGAGTAGTTTAAGGTTTGTGCAGGTGAATCTTTTGCATATTGAAGATGATTTGGTTTTTGCTTCAACGGTGACCGCTTTCCTCGAATTGCTTTGGAGCAGTGTTGTTTCGGTATCTAGTTAATGTTGACCGCTTTTAGCCCGCCTAGCGCATTTGCAAACTGGAGACTACGAGTCATTCGAAAAGCCCGTTTTTTTCCCCATAATTATGCGCACGTTATTAACAAAAAGAGAACAAACGGATGCAGACACGCATCAAAAGCTGGTACCCAATTCATTCACCAATCTAAACAGCAGTAAGCATTTCCGGAACTAACTATCCAAGGAGAAATAATTATCCTCAAAATCTGGAAGCGTTTATACAGGTTAGTGTACATAGTATTGTCATTGGTCTTTATAACACCCATCCAATGCTATCAAGGCCACATGACTCAAAGCGGAAACGTCCAACTGGCGGAGGTCCATCGTGTCCCAGTGTTGTTGAGTGTTAACCGGGCGAAAAAGGTCGAACCTAAAAAGATTTCATTCATTAATGCGTGTTGGACAAAGGGCATACACAAATGTCTAATGCTTAATATTCTCCGCTAGGCTACACATGAACTGCGACGTGATTAAAGAACTGCTTCCATAATCCGTTCCGTATAACAAAAGATCCATTTGGATAACTAAAAGCAAGTCAAAAAAAGGTACGTCTACCCATAGACTCGAATAACTAGCGTAGGTGCGTAGTTACAGAAATAGTTCCATAAAAGCCACAAAAACTCCTGGCTATGCACTGCCGCATTTCGGTGTTAGATACTTCCACGGTATCTGCTTGGTGCATAAAACAGCCACCTTCGGCGACTGCTGATGTAGAATTTAGACCATGCTCATGGAAATGCTCAATTGGAGATGCCCAGGGGCAATAAACTCCTTGGTGAGAGATCCGTGTTTTCAGCCCTTTAGATTTATCTATTTTTTTGAGAGGATGTTCGACCTTACTCGTGACAATATTAAATGACGCTACTCACTCACACTTTAAAAACCTTTCGAATACTGGCCCATCCATGAGGATAAGGCAACGTCCGCACCCAACGGCTGTGCATGTCTGCAACCTTTGCATATATCCGCTGACTAATAAGCGCACAGTTGTCATTTTTTTTATTTTTGAAATTTCATATTTTTGTAATTTGTTGCACTACCATTGAAAAGTAAATCTTGTGAGTGAAGTATCATGTCATTATGTCTTTCGTTTGTGATCTGTGTGGAAAAGTGTGTGCGACTAAGCACGGATTGAGCAGACATCGGGCCTCTGATATTTGTCGTACTGCTCAAGCGAAGAATCTCCGTCAAGCACCACAACTTCCTGGATCATCCGCTCCTACAGTAGTTTTGGAGACCATCGAAACCCGTATATTTGCAGCTCGGAAAAAGCACCCCATTCTTCGTCACATTCCAGCAGGAGCCAGGCGCGCCTGCGCAGAATCCTACACGGCTGCAGTCAATGACGTGTGCAGTAAGAATGACGAAGAGTCTTGGGCCAAATTGTTGCTGTTTCCACTAGACAACCTCCACGCTCCCCCTGCCAAAGCTGGACGAGGACCTTCCCTAGCTGCGTCGGTGAAGGCGAATTTGCGCGGCACATCTGCAGATTCTCCTCTCCCTAACACTGTCCGTAATAAGACCAGCAAGAAGAAGACTACTGATGAAACCTTACGCAAACTGGTGAATGCCAAACTGCAGGATGGTGACATCAGCGGTGCTGTTAAAGTTCTGACGTCTGAAGATACGGTTGCTGCGCTGACGGGAGACGTTATTAAGGCGTTACGTGATAAACATCCAGATCCACCAGCGGATCTGGATACAACGGTCTGTGACGTTCAACCTGTTGCTCACAATGTGTCTCCGAATGAGATTCTTGTCGCTGTTAAATCTTTTCCTGCAGGCTCATCAGCTGGACCTGATGGTCTTCGACCGCAGCATTTGAAGGAGATGGTGAGTGTGCCTGGAGAAACAGGGGGGTCCTTACTGTCGGCCCTGTCCAAACTGGCCAACCTAGCTCTATCCGGAAAGATCCCTGCGGCGGCCAAGAGAGTGTTCTTTGGTGGAATGTTGACGCCTCTATTAAAGAAAAACGGGGGTATTCGTCCCATAGCTTGCGGTTGCACATTGCGGCGGCTATTTGGAAAAGTTATCAGCCGGCGCGTTCAAGATGAGATGGGAGAACTATTTCGTCCCGTGCAGCTCGGTTATGGTACTCGTGGAGGTGCAGAAGCGGCCGTACATGCTGCTCGTAAATTTGTACGGGATGACTGTTCTGAAGTACAGGTTGTGTTAAAACTTGACTTTGCTAACGCTTTTAACACGGTCCGCAGAGATGTGATGTTGAAGAAAGTGGCGGAAGTTCCTCCTCAATATTATGCGTTTATCTCCGCGGCATACAGCACTCCGTCGTCATTGTTTTGTGGAGATCAAATTATTGCCTCTGCCCATGGTATCCAGCAAGGGGATCCACTTGGCCCGTTACTGTTTTGTTTGATCTCGGCTAATTTGTCCAGAGAATTACAGTCCGAATTAAACATCTGGTTTTTGGATGACGGCACGTGCGGCGGGGATCCGGATACCGTTTTGGGAGATTTCATGACTATATTGGGAAAAGCACGCACACTCGGCTTGCAGTTGAATTTGTCGAAATGCGAGCTGCACGTTTTTGGTGGCACTGAATCCGAGCGGAAAGAAGTCATTGAAAGTTTTCACTCTATTTCACCTGAGATTCTGCTGGTTTCGTCGGAGCAGCTGGACCTCCTTGGTGCACCACTTACTGATTTGGCGATTGGGCGAGTGTTAGATGGAAAGATCGGTCAGATACGACGTCTGACTGATCTGCTCGGTGTGTTGCCAGCGCATCAGTCATTGTTCCTTTTGAAGAACAGCCTTTCGCTGCCGAGATTGTTGTTTACTCTTAGGTGCGCCCCGAGTTGGAAGTGTCCAGATAAACTGCGCCTGTTTGACGATACCGTGAGGAGAAAAGCGGAAGAAATTACGAATGTAGAAATGTCCGACACCGTGTGGCGACAAGCGATTTTACCTGATCGCCTTGGAGGAATCGGCCTTTGTAGGGCGGAGGATGTAGCGTTGCCTGCATATCTATCTTCGTGTTATGCTACGGATCCTCTGGTCTGTGAGATTGTCACGGATACTGGTCAAAGCCCTAGAGAAAATGTGGTTAAGGTTTATCAGGAGAAACTTGGAGAAGACCCACCGCCTATGCCGAGCCGTCGTTTCCAGCCAGCGTGGACCGGTGTGATGTACGACAAAATGCGCCGTCTCTTAGTGGACAATGCCGACGTTATCGCTAAAGCTCGCTTGTTGGCCCTGTCTACAAAAGAGTCTTCTGCATGGTTGTCGGCGCTGCCTGTGTCCAGTTTAGGAAACCTTCTTGATGATGTCAGTTTACGAGTGGCTGTGGCTTTACGCTTAGGTGCTTTTATTTGTAATGAGCACATATGCCGTTGTGGCGAAATGGTTGACAGGTACGGTCATCATGGCCTTTGCTGTAAGAAAAGTGTAGGACGAATCCGGCGCCACAGCGCGCTCAACAACATAGTTCAGCGGGCGTGTGGATCTGCGAAAATATCCGCCATTTTGGAACCTCCCGGACTTGATAAGGAAACTGGAAAACGACCAGTTGGCATGACCCTGTATCCTTGGCAATATGGAAAACCATTAGTATGGGATGTCACTGTAGCTGACACGCTAGCGGCAACATATATTGGCCAAACTTCTGACCACCCTGGCGCTGCCGCGGAAGCCGCTGAGATTCGAAAACTGGGAAAATATGAGAAGTTGAGGGATCGATACATTGTACAGCCTTTTGCTTTCGAAACTATGGGATCCTGTGGACCAAGCACTAGTGGTTTTATCTCGGATCTGGCCAAACGTATTCGGGAGCAGACTGGAGAAAGCCGTGCGAAGCAGTTTTTGTTGCAGCGTTGCAGTTTAGAAATACAACGGGGCAACGCTGCCTGTGTTCTTGGTACAGTCGAGTGCAGTCGCAATCTCGATGAACTGTTTTTGCTTTTCTAGAGGTTTACAATGACTTGTATAGGAAAAGACTTCCCCTTTATGTATTTATGTATACCTAATTATTTTGAAACAGCTTGGTTTGTTACTGTCCATAAATTTTAAAGTTGTCATTTGCCGCGGCTAATAAACAACGCAAATGATCTAAGGGCGTGTCCGTGGAACGGATGCGCAAACAGGGAACGCTGGCATTCGTCAAGCTATCCAAACGAAAATCATCCTTGTACAGATGAACCCTCTCGGCTGCTGGTAGCGACGATTCCAGATCCCAGGCGAGTATTCCGTGCGCTGCTCTGCCAATAACCGTCCATGCAGGGTAGTTGAGCAGCAGCAGCTCCTTGCACACGCTGAGTAACTCTTTCTGGGTAGTGTGCTCGAACTTTTCGTTCAGGAGGTCGCAGTTGTTGGTAATGTACAGGAACCACGGTAGATCAACGGAAGCACAACAGTTGTTCACAATAAACAAAGGTAGGCGAATATCTTTAATTTGTAAAAACTGATAAATGTCCCATACACTTGTGTACCGCTCGTTTTCTGAGGCGTTTTGTTGCTTTTCGTAAATTAGCGCCAAGACTTGAACGCCCCCCGGTTACCGTGTTAACAAGTGTAGTCATAAAATTATAGCCGTGGTAATAATAATCAACTGGAAACGCCTCCCACCAAGGGTTACTCTCTGTCGTTCGGCAAGGAGCGATCATAATGTGTCGGTTGCTGCAGTTAAGCAGCAGAACTCTCCATAGTCCGCACACCCTGCAACACAGTAAAACAAAGATCAAACTTGCGGTAACGACTTTCGTTCCCAAATTATACGGCACAGCTAAAAAAATAATTTTCTGCCGATCGGATTCAGAAAAATGTTTGCCGGCAAACGACATGGATACGATTGCGTATACGGAGACTACAGTAGAGATTACTTGCCGGTGTAAGCGTAACCGCGTATTCACATCCAGATTAAGCAAAACTTCAGTCAGGATCAGGTGGTGGAGTTTACTAATAGCTGTCTTTTCCTCATCTATAAGCATCCGCAAGTTACTGTCCAGCTCGCATAAAGCAGTGCAAGTAGCATCGAATAACAATGCAGGCATTTTTATTAGAATTTTGTATATTATAATAGTCACTGACCGCACTCTAGGGCGCTTAGAAGTCTGCGATCAGCCTCGTTAAAGCCGGACATTACAGGCTGACCCGCTGGTTGTTGGCTAAGCAGGTGATTCTGGAACGCTTCCTTTAGAGAATCTGCATTCCAAAACATACTGCGACCGTCAGGGCCGCCATGGACTTCGGCGCAGACGAAGGTGACGGTGTTCCATCCCGCTCGCACATAAACTCGACACCCGACATCAAACTGATAACTACCAGAACTTGTAGCAGCATTATAGTGCGAACGGCAATTAAAATAAAAGGTATCACCCCACACGTGCTTTTTGAACTGGCAGTCCACACCGCAGCCGAGGTCGCCACTACCCAGTGCCAACTGGCAGCTGTCGGCCAGAAACTTGGGCATCATATCCATATTGCGAATGAGGATGGCTTTATCGAACCCGATGACGTGCTTTTTGTAAACCAACCCTGTGCGTCGGCCAAAAAAATTCTTCCCATCGCTGGACTGCGGCATTTGCAGGGCAAATAGACTATGATGCACGATACGGTTTCGTGCCGACGACGTGCTGTCTCGGTGACAAGTCGCAGTATCCACGCTCACAGCGAAAAACATGTAGCACATTAGGTCGCTCAAGACAGTACACGATCGGAACACCAAGGGTCCGCCTGGGCTCTCCCGCAGCGCCACTTGCATGATCGACCCAATATATTCGTTGGAGCAATGCTGGAAGCACTGATGTGGCCAGAGATGACGAGAATGAATCCATTCAGCTGGTTCGTTCGTGGCATCGAAATCAATGAAAAAATGGTCGCCGGCAATATCCTGAACGTATCCCAACCACCATTGGCCGTTATCACGCTGTACTAGCACCGTGTTCCCGTAGTTCACCTCCCGCGCACCCGAATATAATTGCCGAAAGTATCGTGGCGTCCCGTTCATGTTTATTAGGAAAAAATCGTCAACTTGAAACGTCCACAGCTCGTTTAGTCCTCCAAAGCTATTCCGAGGCCAGCAAAATGCATTGCTCAAATATTCAGTTTGGAAAGATTTTTCGAAAAAATTTGAGTGCAAGGAGGTCAAAGGGTCGTCCTGCAATGAGCGTATGGATGGAACGGATCCCGGATTTGGAACAGGATGAAGCATTGTGTGCCAAGTTGCCAACGCATAGACCGTCCGTAGGCTTTGGGGCAATTCAAGTAGTGTATTACGTAACCATTTTGTTACGAGGTGCTCCAAGGGGTTAGGGGTACCAAAGATAAAAGATTTCGTTACGTGACAAACTGACACCAATAGAAGTATAACGGCCAATTTCGCTACGTACGTGGCAGGATCGGTAGTAATGCGCTTTTATATTACAGCTTACGTTAGGACAAAAAGACGCCTAATCCCACCCACAGCATTTCCAGCGCATGCGGCGCAGTGCTCTGTACGACTCAGCTAAAATATCCGATAACGTAACGTAACGTAACGCTAAAATATCCGATAAAGTAACGTAGTGTGCCTGCGCTTGCACTTCTTGTTACTTTGACGGCTATTGCCTATGTTGTATTGCACTTTATTTCCATGGCTCGGATAACAATATCAAGGTCTATTTACGATTAAACAAAACAACGTTTTCAACAGTACCAATTACAGAAGCAGCGTTACCCCGTTGAATAGCCAAAGAAATATTCTGTTTTAAATACTCGAGGCTACGGATTTCGCCGGTTTGTAGCAAAATTCTCCTCCCAATCTCATTAACAAATCGTTTCGCAGATGTACCAAAACTACCGAATGTCTCGAAGCCGACAGCCGTAAATTCATAACGCCCCGACAGGAAATTCATATTGCCTATTAAAGTTTCAAATATCCGATTGTCGTACAAGTGCACTGCCACATGCGTACGGATATCTGGGTATGAGGTTATGCGTCCTTTTAGTCCTAAGCTGTATATCCGTACATAATTTCGCTCGCGAGCGATCTGAGCCTACAAACTTAAGATGGCATACGAGCTGAGCGCAGAACTGTCTGAGCAATAAGGAATCTGGACACGATCCGAGCGAGCGAGTAGACAAGGCAGCACGAGCGAGCTGAGAAAATTTTTTGAATGTTAAAATGACACGAGCGAGCATGAGCCAATCATTTGACGCTCGCGCAGCGCTCTAAAATGGATACTGCGGCAGACTGTTGAGCTTACTTAACAAAAAGGTGGACCATGTTCGCCGGCAAGGTATATATATTACGGAAGACAAAATTATTCCACACTCCCTATCACGATCACCAAAGCCATACTAATCAGAATCATTAATACTAAAAGAAAAAGCAACCAACAACTTCGCCGTCCACCACTTTATTTTTACTTGGCAAGGCTCGTAAAACTGTCGCCGTATTTCCCTTCATTATAGCAAGGCTAAACCGTTGCTTTGAAATAGCCACAGAGCGTTCTTCTGAATCCCCCGAAACCCTTAAGAAATTAAGCATGTCTTTCGCTGTCTCTCCAAGCACTCCAAGGGTTTTTGTAACAAACGGGTAAGTACAACAAATACGATGGATCTCCAAGGAATCTGTAATTTTGCCGCTGCCGGTTTTCTGCTTGGAGAGCCGGGCCATATTTATTATTCGAATGCGGATAGGCACTGCTGAAAAAAAACGGGTGCCACTTACTGTATTTTCACGAGTTTAAGGAACACGAAAATACCCTAGGTCTGCTCGCAGCCACCCGGGGCCTGCAGCTATGTTCAAAGCTGTTCACTGAGCTGAGTGAGCTCTAAAATCAACAATTGCATTTTACATCATTTTTGAATTTACTGCAGCTCATTACGGAGCACCATTTTACAATTCACAGAAGCACATTACTGTTTTTTTGAGGTATCCATTATTATTTTATTATGGCCAAATTTGCTTTGATTTTTGGCCCAGAAATGGATCTGGCTTGTGTGTGGCAGGGCCTGCCCCTGGCAAGGGGGCGCCCCTGAGGGGCAACATCGTAAATCTGTATTTCAGCAGGCTTCGTTAAGCTTGGGCTGTGTCATTTAGTTTAATTTTTTTCCTTGTTCGGATTCCTAATTTTGACGAGGTAAGACCGTATTTGAAGACTGTCTGAATCAGTCCGAGTGTTTACGTGGTATTCTCAATTCTGCAGTACTGACATGTGAGTTGCAGAATGCATTGTCAGTGAACCAGTTTGAACGTAGCTTCAGGCCCCGGGTGGCTGCAAGCAGAACTAGGGTATTTTCGTGTTCCTTAAACTCGTGAAAATACAGTATAACGTAGAGCAAAAATCTGCTTCAGTTTTATTAGACCGAAAGACCAAAGTACAGACACACGATTGAGTACGCTGGAACGATACGATTGAGTACGTTTGAGTCGCTAAAAAATGCAGTAATACATACATATGCGTTCTGACA